CAAAAAAAAACCCTGTCTCAAAAAAAAAAAAAAAAAAAAAAAAAAAAAAAAAAAAAAGAAGAAGAAGAAGAAGAAGAAGAAATTTATTATCAACAGAATTTTCAGCTGGGGGGCTATAGCTCAGTTGGTAGAGTACTTACTTACCCATCATGAACCAAGCCCTAGGCTTCATCTTTAGCACTGAATAAAGCAGGATGTGATGGAGCACATCATAATCCACAACTTGGGAAGCTGATGTTCAAGGGTAACTACTGGTTATTTAGTGAACTGGAAGCCAGACTAGACTACGTTAGGATCAAAAAGGGGGAGGGAGTCTGGATGGTAGTGGCGGTGAACGCCTTTATTCCTAACACTCAGGAGATAGAGGCAGGTGGATCTCTGTGAGTTCAAGTCCAGTCTAGTGTACAGAGCAAGTTCCAGGACAGCCAGAGCCACACAAAGAAACCTGTTTTGAAAACAAAACAAAACAAAACAAAACAGGTGTGATGGTGGCTCAGTGGTTAAGAACACTTACTACTCTCGAAGAGGACCAGGTTCAGTTCCTGGCACTCACAACTACCTATACTCCAGTTTCAGGGCATCCAATGCCCTCTTATAGTTCCCCTGGGCACCAGGCATACCTATGATGCATACACATAAATGAAGGCAAAATACCACTCACACACATAAAATAATTTCCAAAAATTTCCCTCAAGGACTCAGACTAGGATCAAAACATACAGACATTAACTAACCTAAGACCCTACTTAAAATTAGTCTCAAAGGTCCTTCATTTTCTTTTAACCTTATATAAATTTTTTCTCTCCAGTAAATATCTCCAAAAAAAATTATCTTTTTCAAGGAATTCTATGCTAATCAGAACTGAAAACACATATATTCTAAAAGTGCTAAATATGGAGAGACTGTCCATATTTCACTGTCCTGATAACCATTAACTGTACTAACAGTTGATAATATTCATTCATTTCCACACTGGCTTACTACACCTACCTAATGTTCACCATCACACATACACACTGCCTTGAAAATCCTAATTTTTGCTGGGCCAGTGGCACATGCTTTTAATTGCAACACTCAGGAGGCTGAGGCAGGTAGATCTGTGTTTGAGGCCAACCTGGTCTATATTAGTGAGTTTCAGAACAGCCAGGGCTACATATCAAGACCTTATCACAAGCAAAACAATCAAAAATTTTCCAAAAGACAACGGCTATATTTATAGTCTTTTACATGAGATAATAGGAAAAATTAGGTACCTAATATTACTATCACATGAAAAAATTAATCTTGCTTGAACTAATTTATAGGAATTAGGTTAGAGCTCTTTATAATATGTTCACAAAACAGTCTGCATTGCCTATAGCTGTAATTACATTATGGTTTTATCAATATCCATCTACTTACTAGACTGTAAATTTCCTTATGGCAGACATCTTTTCCTCTAGAATATCCTGGGGTCTACCATATGCCTGGTATACAACAGGCATGCAATAAAAATTTGTTGAATAATAAACAGTAGATGTCAAATCTGGGAGTGGTGGTGACGTATATATACAATAAATAAAGAGGTGAAAGTTAAGTTGTGACTGTTGCTAAATTCAAAGATATATAAAAGACTGAAAAGGCACAGAGAAAAATCATACTAATTAACATAGAAGTGAAATCACGTCAAATATCTGCTTGACAGACTTCTCTGACTTTCATGGAGGCTTATCATGAAAGGAGGCATCACTACCTCCCCCCACCAACTACGCAAGATCGACAAAGAGCGCAGTGGGGAGGGAGATACGTACTGGGTGAATGTCTGCTGAGCTCCAGCTCTGGTCTCTCCAAGCTGCTCTGAAAGTCAGGAGGCAGCAGGGAAGCCACTCCCTCAGGATGGATCATCTCGTCCTCCGACTCAGCTGAAGCTTCTGCAAAGTACACAGTGGGTCGGGGCAGGGAGGAGTGAAGGGCTCAGCAGGTAGGATATGTAGGAGTGAAGGACGGCAGGCAAAGTTATAGATACAGACACATATACCAAAAAAGAGCACTCAACAAAAAAACAAAAACAAATAAACCACCTCCCTAGCACTATGCTTTACCTCCTCTAAATGGCAGCATGACTTATTTCTAACTCCTCTTCTCCTCAAACTAAGCCTCTCTTTCCTTGACAAAGTCAAACTGTAACTCATCTGGCTTCACAAAACACTGAAAGCAAATGAGCAGCAGCCTCACTTGACTTATTCCTGGAATTAGTTAGATCCAGCTACTTGGTGTCAGAGATCAAAGCAAAAACCTTGTTAGCAGTGGCAAGGAGGGCTTACCTTCAAGTTCTGCAGCCTCTCGAGCTTCACGTTCTAGCCGCTGCCTCAGGAGCTCCTGCTGCTTCTCCAGATACTGCTTTATGAAACTGTTCTGGCTCATTTCCTCCCCAATCTGCGTAGAGGAAACAGGATAACAAAGTCTAAGGGAGGGCAGCTATTAGGTGATTAGGAAGATCTAAACGCAGGCAATGAACACCTGAGTCACAAAATTAGATGCAAAGCTAGCTGTTTTCCTAGTTTTAACCCCGCCACAGACTTTGTTTTATTTTGTTTTTGTCATGGATAAGTACACTAAAAATATATTTAGACAGTCAAAACATAAAAACCAACGTGAAGCTCCATAGCTTCCATGGTTATTCTACTGTTGAGAACTTTGGATCTGGTTAATTTAGCTACATAATGTTTTTATTTGGAAGCTTTTTATAATGAATTTTGATTTAATTAATAAAAGCTTTTTAAGTCTATTTTATGTGTATGGGTGTTTTTGCTGTTTGTGTATCTGTGCAGCACATGTGTGAAGTGGCCAAGGAGTTCAAAGGAGAGCATGAGGTGCCCTGGGACTGGATACAAACATTTAACTGAGCTGCCACATGAATACTGAGGATCAAACCTGGGTCATCTGGAAGAGCAGCCAGAACTCTCAGTGAACCACTGCTCTAGCCCACCTCCCCACGCCCCTTAAAAAAAAAAAAAAAGAATGATTTAAAAAATGCCTATCACAAATTTAAGCTTGATATGTTAAAATGTTTTAAAAATAATTATGGGTTGCTGGGCGTTGGTGGCACATGCCTTTAATCCCAGCACCTGGGAGGCAGAGGCAGGCGGATCTCTGTGAGTTCGAGGGCAGTCTGGTCTCCAGAGTGAGTACTAGGATAGACTCCAAAACTACACAGAGGAACCCTGTCTCGAAAAACCAAAAAATAGTAGTAGTAGTAGTAATAATAATAATAACAACAACAACAATAACAATAATAATAATAGGGGTTGGAGAGATGACTCAGTGGTGAGCACTGGCTGCTCTTCCAGAGGATTTGGGTTCAATTCCCAGCATCCACACGACAGCTCACAACTGTCTGTAACTTCAGTTCCAGGGGATCTGACACTCTCAAAAGGACACACATTCAGACAAAACACCAATGCAAGTAAAATAAAAATAAATTACTAAAAAATTTACTCATTAAAAAAATTAAAAATAAAGCCAGTCAGTGGTGGTGCATGTCTTTAATCCCAGCACTTGGGAGGCTCAGGCAGATGGATCTCTGTAAATTCAAGACCAGCCTGGTCTACAGAGGGCAGCCAAAGCTACTCATAGAAATCCTGTCTCAAAAAACAATAAGCAAACAAATAAATAAAATTTAAAAAATAATTATGAAATGTTTTACTAAAAGCAACAAAGGCAAACTACCTTCTAAAGAAACATGAATTAAAAAAAAGAAACATGAATTTAAATAATTTCTATAAACAACAAAATGTGAGTTTCTAAACATGTAAGACTTTTCTCTTCTAGTTAAAGATTAAAAAAAAAGATAACAGTCAAAGAAAGTATACCAGGGAAATGCCAAGACATGCTACAGAGCAAGTCTACTTCATGTATCTGCATCCAAGAAACACAAATCTTGGAAGGCTCTCCCTTTCTTTCTTTCTTTCTTTCTTTCTTTCTTTCTTTCTTTTTAGTTTTTTTGAGACAGGATGTCTCTGCGTAGCCCCGGCTGTCCTGTAACTCACTCCGTAGACCAGGCTGACTTCAAACTCAGATCCACCTGCCTCTACCTCCTGAGTGCTGGGAACAAGGGTAGAAGCCACCACTGCCCGGTTTGAAGGCTTTTTCTAAGCTGTTCTATATTAAAGATCAGAATAAACATTATGACAAGAAGAGGAACTACATTAATATTTTATTTATTTAAAATAATCAGTCCTAAGAGTGGTGTTTCTGCATAAATAAGTTAAAAAGAAGTAAAAATTCTAGGGACTATACTTCTTTTGGAAACAAGGTCTCACTACATAGTCCTGGCTGGCTTCAAACTTGAAATCCTTAGGCATAAGCACCCTCAGTTTGAGTAGTATAGGTGTGCTACCATAATGGATCCTGTTGTTGGCCTCTCCCAACTCCCACCCCGTGTGCGTGCGTGCGTGCGTGCGTGCCTGTGTGCTCGAGAATCACACTTAGTGTTCTACCAGTAAGTTATACCCTCAGCCTGAATTATGTCTTTTCACCTAAATTTTTATAAACTACACTTTAGACTAGGGGCTGATACCCGGAATTTACAAAGAAATGCAGAAATTAAACACCAAGGAAATAAAACTGCCCATCAACAAATGGCCAAATGGAATGAAAAACAAAACAGTTTTGTTTTGTTTTGTTTTGTTTTTCGAGACAGGGTTTCTCTGTGGCTTTGGAGGCTGTCCTGGAACTAGCTCTTGTAGACCAGGCTGGTCTCGAACTCACAGAGATCCACCTGCCTCTGCCTCCCGAGTGCTGGGATTAAAGGCGTGTGCCATCAATGCCCGGCTAACAAAACAGTTTTTAAAAGAAGAAATACAAATGGCTAATAACCATTTTAAAAGATGACAACAAATGTTGGAGAGAAACTCATTCACTGGTGGGGATGAAAATTAATTGTGGAAGTCAGTTTGGTGATTTTGATGCATATTTTTAATCCTACCACTACAGAGGCAAAGCAGGCCAATCTCTGTGAGTCCTAGGCCAGTCTGGTCTACACAGTGAGTTCCTGTCTCAAAATTTTGAGATAAATGCCAGGCTGGAGAGGTGGCTCAGCAGTTAGAAGCCAACTGTTGCCCTTTCAGAGGACCCAGGTTTGGTTCCTAGCAACAACACTGCAGCTCACAACCATTTGTAATTCCACTCCAGACCTGACCCTTCTCTTCTGACCTTTACAGGTACCAGGCATGGACATAGTGCACATGCATACATGCAGGCAAAACACTCATATAAACAAAATAAATATTCTTTTTTTGAGACAGGTCTCTCTGTGTAGCTTTGTAGACCAGGCTGGCCTTGAACTCACAGAGATCCTCCTGCCTCTGCCTCCTGAGTGCTGGGATTAAAGATGTGTGCCGCCACCACCTGGCCAAAATAAAAAAAAATTTCTAGAGTGAGTTCCAGGACAGTCAGGGCTGTTACACAGAGAAACCCTGTCTTGAAAAACCAATAAACAAACAAACAAACAAGCACACACACAAATAAATAAATCTCAAAACAAAATTTTAAAAGTAAATCTGAGAAGAAAAAAGTCTTAGTTTCTCCAAAAGATAAATCTCCACCAATCCAGGAGAACATTTTGTCATACAGCTCATAAGTTCAAATGCAGGACTAGAGAGATGGCTCAGCAGTTAAAAGCACTGGCTGCTCTTGCAGAGGACCTGGGTTCAAATCCTAGTACTTGGTGGCTCATAACCATCTGTTAACTACAGTTCCAAGTCTGTAACATCCTCTTCTGACCCCCAACCCCCTTAGAGCACCAGGCCTGGACATGGTATATACACACAAATGCATAACATACAAAATAAACACAAAAAAATTATAGTATTTAAATGAATAAAATTAAGAAACTAAGGAAAGGAATATACATTCAACACTTGAGACACTTGTAACTCCACTTCCATTAAAAGATAAACAAAACAGCTGGGTAGTAGTATCGAATGCCGTTAATCCCAGCACACAGGAGGCAAAGGCAGGAAGAACTCTGTGAGTTCGAAGACAGCCTGGTCTATAGAGCGAGTTCCAGGACAGCTAGGGCTGTTATACAGAGAAACCCTGTCTTGAACCCCCTCAATAAAAAATTAAATAAATAAAAATAAAAAGCAAACAAAAAAGATAAAATAACCCACAGAAAGGGAAATGCATATGGCTATATCTGCAGTCATACCACGATAGAGCTGAGGCTGGAGAACTGCCATAGCTTGAGGGCAGCCTAGGCTATAGTCTCGGCCTCAAAAACTCCAACCCAACCAAGAGTTTTTTTTGTTTTTGTTTTTTTTTTTTTTTTTTTTTTTTTTTAAAAAAAATTTTTTTGAGTAAAAAGAAGCCTTTAGCATGCCAAGCACTGTGGCCCATGCCTTTAATCCCAGCACTAGGGAGGCAGAGGCAGAGGCAAAGGCAAAGGAATTCTTTGCGAATTCCAGAGTAGCTAGGGCTATGTAGAGAGATCCTCCTGTTTCAAAACAAAACAAAATAATAATAATAAAAAGCAAGCCATCCTAGGGTTAATCCTTCCCCCTTTCTCTAACATTCCCACATCATTCTTTCTGTGCTTCAGTTTTCTCTTCATAAGTCCTCAAGTCCTTCTTACATGTCTATAGACCCCCACAAAAGCAAATCAATCCAATACTTCCCTATGTTTTCTTTTTTGGTTTTTCAAGACAGGGTTTTTCTCTGTGGCTTTGGAGGCTGTCCTGGAACTAGCTCTTGTAGACCAGGCTGGTCTCGAACTCAGAGATCCACCTGCCTCTGCCTCCCGAGTGCTGGGATTAAAGGCGTGCGCCACCAACGCCCGACTAAAATTTTTTTTTTTAAAGATTTATTCTTATTTATTTTATATGTATGACTGTTTTAACTGCATGGATATATGTGCATCATGTGTGTGCTTGGTGTTCAAAGCCAGAAGAGGATATGGGATGCCCTGGAACTGGAGTTAGGATGGCCATGAGGCACCATGTGGGTGCTGGGAACTGAACCTGGGTCCTCTAAAGAGCAATAGGTACTTTTAAGTACTGAGCCATTTCTTCAGCTTTCATAATGTGTGTATGTACATATACCTTTAAGTGTGTGTGTGTTTGTCTGCTCAGCCATGTCCTTGGAGACCAGAAGAGGGCATTGGATCCCTTGCAACTGGAGTTACAGATGTTTGGGAGGCATCCAATATAGTATGTGCTGGGATCTGAACTCCAGTTTGAATCACTGAGTGACAAGCACTCTTGACTACTGAGCTATCTCTCCAGCCCCTTAGGTAGTTTTTTATGCTTGTTATCCTCAGAAAGCTGACTAGATTATGGGATTTACAGGTTAATGAGGTATTAACAAGGGAACAGAAAGATTTTCCATAGTATCCTGGGACCTCATCTAGTCCTGGGCCAAGACACCGTTACATTTTTCTTTATGTGTATAACACACTAAATGAAGAGATTTTTAAAAGCTGAAAAACAACCTTAAAGACAATATGGTCTAGAAATTTATATCTTATTTTTAACTATAGAATAATATCTTCAAAATAAAACACATGTAGAAAGCTGGGGACAGGAGCACAAGCCTGTTACCCCAGCACTAAAAAAGCTGGCAGGAGTACTGCCCTGAGTCTAAAGACAGCATAGGTTACACTGTGAGCTCCAAGCCATCACAGCTATAAGGATTCTGTCTCAACCCTCAAAAACAAAACAACAAATAAGCCAAAACAAAACAATAACAACAAAGTGTTTTCTCCCAGCTATCCCAACAGAACAGGTATATAACGACTAGCTAAGTCCAACTACTTTTCTTATTACAGGTGAGACAACCAAGGCCTCCAAATATTAAGTTCCTTGTCCTAAATAACAAAAGTTTTAGGGATGTCTAACAGTAACTGTAAATAGTTAAGCAGCTAGCACTAATAAATTAAATTCTTTTAGAAAACTGTCAATAAAAGAGTTGTTGATAAAGAAGTATTTTATTCCACATTTACATTCAATGACTTTTCCCCAAACCAATGGCAAATAAGTGACTTCAAAGTCTTTGTGGTACACTTAATCAGAGCCATACCTTTTGGCACTCTCCACTGATATGGTTTTTTTACTCCAGGTTTTTATGCAAAATTAGTCTTGATGAGAATTCAACTGTCAGAGCTGGAAAAATAGCTAAGCAGTTAAGAGGACTGGCTGCTCTTGTAGAGGACCCAGGTTCAAGTCAGCACCCATATGGTAGCTCACAGCTGTCTATAACTCCAGTTCCGGAGGATTCAATATCCTCTTCAGGCCTCGTGGGCACCAGGCATGTACATGTACACACACACACACACACACACACACACACACACACTCACACACGCGCGCGCATGCACGATGCACAGATACATATGCAGCCAAATCAGCCATACACATAAAATAAAAATAATCTTTTAAAAAAAAAAGCAGCAACTGTCTAATATGAGAACACTTGCAGTAAAAGTAATTTAAGAAAATGCTGCTTTTGATAAGCATGGAAGACACAACACCAAGTCCTTCCATTTACCGTTTTCTTCAAATAGCACATTCTATCTAAACAAATCTTTTTTTCTTACCTGTGAATTTGGCTGGAATGCAGCATGGGGTGTTGAGTGTTTCTGTAAATTTTCTAGCATTAGAGCCTGGTATAAAGAAGAGCAAAAATCAGAAACCAGGAGGGGGGGGGACAAAAAGCAACCCAGATCTCTACCTTTCCAACAGCCTTTTCATTAAATTAAATTATTTAAATATACATTTACATCATACTCCTTTCATGGAGTATAAAAGCCCTTTACTAATACTGTTCTCATTCATCTTCATGAGACCCTTAATGGTAGCCATGGTTACTGCTCCCAAATATGTGAAATACAGGCACACAAAGAATCAGTGACCTGGCTGTGTCATAAAAATCAGCAAAAGTGACAGAATTGGTACCAGAATCCCTATTATTGTCAGCAATTTTGACTAGGAGTCACTCTCAAATCTGTTAATGGGGATGGGGGGTGGGGCACCACTTCAAACACTCAAACAAGCTTTAAATTACACGAAACCGTGAGGCTGCTGATTAGGATCTGACTATTGGTTAGTTATTCAGAACTGAAACTTAAGTGAACTGGCATAATTCTCAGCAGAGTGACATCCAGACTAATCAAATTATTAAAATTTCAAAGAGAAAACTGACCACGGACCTTGTAATCTATGGTTTGACTTAATCCGCACCCACCCACAAACTGTCAGCGTCGGGATAAGCAACGGTCTTGTCAGCTCAAACCCTGAACTAACCTAGTCCCCAATCCGCACTATCAGCCACGTACCCTAATGAACTCTAATTACACTGGTCCATCTCTCCTTCCCTCCATTTACATCAAACCGATACACAATATGTATACCTCAGGGCAGGCCCGTCCTCATCTACTCAAATTGACACGAAATCCCCAGCCTAAAGTGATCTGTCTCACCTCTCGCACTATAATATTCACCAAATTCTTATCCAGACTGCTTCTCGATTCCCTACAAATTAGACACCCGTCTTTCACCAAGTCCTTCTACAAGGTTCCCCTTCATCTAATCAAGCGGACATTTTTACCCTACCCCAAATGTATTATTGCAGAAAGAGGCACCAACCCTATCCGCCCAACTGTACCCCTAACTCGGACCCTGCCCTACTCGCCCCCTTAAGGCCAGCCACACCGGTGGTTGTAGAGGGATTTAACTCCTTCTGCAGCGCATGCGCCGAAAACACAGACACAAACAAGGAGGGGGTGGGGGAAGAAGGAAGGAGCTTAAGACACTCCGGGAGAGTAGCGCGCACCCTCCCATTTTGGGCTCGCGCCGCTGCCGTTAAGGCGGGAACCGGCGTTATCTCTGTTCCAGCGCAAGCCACTCCAACTACCGTGCGCGTGGATCTACAGGCTCGCGCTGGCGGCCTGAGAGCTCGCGCCGAGCCCGGACACTGCGCCTGCGCCGCGGCGGAGACTCGTCTCTACCGGGTCCGCTCCCCTCCGACACCTCGGCAACGCTGACTTCTCACCCCTTTGAGCCGCTTGACCAGAGCACTCTTCTGCCCGCTCTTGGCTAGGCCTCGCTGCTCCAGTGCGGCCTTCAGGTCGGTCACCCGCAGAGCCTGAAGAGGCTTCCCGTCCAGAGTCACCTCCTCCAGCTCCGCCATCTTGCGTGAGGTACTCGGGTCCGTCCCGACGGCTTCGGGCATCTTCGGTAATTTCCGCTAACGCCCTTCGAACGTACCGAATTGGCCCCGCCCACTGCCATAGTCTACCCCTCTCTTACTGCTCAGAATTCCCCGGGTTCCTCCGGAACTGTTCGGCCGTTTCCGTCTCCACATCGGTACCAATCAGCTCTTTCTATTTGCCCAGCCTCCGCCCCCCACTCCCTGTTTGCGTTCAGGATCGTTTGTTTTCGTCTTGCCGAGGCTTTGAATCGAATCTATTCGGAAGCCCTCGAATCGCGCATAACCATAATCGGAGATATTCGGGTATCTTCGGACCTGGGGCTGAGGCGCTGGGGCACTTGGGTGTTTGGGGCTGGTTTGAGACCGGAAGTGCGTGGGTTACTGGGTTGGCTCTGCCTAGGGTTTTCAGGAAACATGGAAGAGACTAAGGGAGTTGGAGCTGGAGCTGAAGGACTATTGTGATCTCTGGGCGCTCTTTGGGAGGACAGGGGAGGTAACAGGTAAAGAAGACCTTCCTTGGCCAGGTTTCCTTTTGGGGAGCCCCCCCTGCTTCCGTGGCGAAATCTCTGTGGTCCCCCATCCTCTACATCTGGCCGCTCGGGCTAAGGAGTACTTGGGGGCTTCAGACTCTTGCGGCTTCCAAACGTGGGAAAAAGTTGCTTTGTGTCTTTGATCCCAGGCAATAAATTTATTAAGTTTACGGTTGAGGCCATGTGGCAAGACCATGGCGGTGGTGAAAAATCCCTTTCCCTGAAAAAGAGAACTTTTAGGGAGGAACTTCTCCCTGGAAGGTCACTTTGAAAATGTCAGTCACCCTAAACCGGGGTTTGAACTGATCTTTAGGGATTCCTTTCTTTGTCGATACACATCTTCTTCCAACTTGGAGCAGAAGGAACAGAAGTAGAAATTTAGGTCATAGAGGGTTGAAGGTTTTCATTGTTAGAGGTACAAACTGTAGGACCCAAACACAAAAGTTGGCTGACACTTGATGCATGATGCAAAATCGATGGCACTTATAGGTATAAGCCAGTAAGGAAAACTGTTCAGAGACACACGTGCATCGTATCCCTTTTTAGGCTGCCTAAGTCAAGAAAGCAAAGGGACTGTTTTCAGAACCTTAAAAGTGTGACTTTGAGGCAAGGCCTTTACGTAGCCTACTCTGAAGTTTATTGGTGCTGTACAGAAAGAGGGTGCATAAAATAAAATTCTTAACAAATCTCAGAGGCTGTGTATATGATGCATAGAAGGCACTTGGTTTGGCCGGGCATTGGTGGCGCATGCCTTTAATCCCAACACTCGGGAGGCAGAGGCAGGTGGATCTCTGTGAGTTCGAGACCAGCCTGGTCTACAGGAGCTAGTTCCAGGACAGCCTCCAAAGCCACAGAGAAACCCTGTCTCCAAAAACAAAAAAGAAGGCACTTGGTTCATTTATGCTTCCCCCACACTATTGATAGCTTTGGAACAATTAACATTAGGCTGGTATCAGTTGCTTGTACCAACGTTTATAGAACTATACAGTTTGATTTTAGAGAGGATAAACATGGACCTAACCTGAAACAGAAGTAGGAGAGATAGAACAAGCATTTTTGTTTGTTTGTTTGGTTGGTTTTGTTTTGTTTTTTCAAAACAGGGTTTTTCTGTGTAGCCCTGGCTATCCTGGAAGTCACTCTGTAGACCAGGCTGGCCTGGAATTTGACCTGCCTGTGCCTCCCAAATACTGGGATTAAGGCTTGCTCCACCACTGCCCAGCTTTCTTTTATTATGATTTTTCTTTTAGATTTTATTATTTATTATGTATGCAGTAATCTGCCTGCAGGCCAGCAGAAGGCACCAGATCTCATTAAAGGTGGTTGTGAGCCACCATGTGGTTTCTGGGAATTGAACTCAGGACCTCTGGAAGAGCAGTCAGTGCTCTTAACTGCTGAACCATCTCTCTAGCTCCTGCCTTTATTATTTTTAACTCTGTATCTGTGTGTCTGTCTGTGGGTATGTGCATGCCCACATACCCAATGGACACTATAGGTAGTGCTCTGGAGAGCACTACATTTAAATGCTGAGCAGTCGTCTCTCCAGCCCCTCAATTGGTTGTTTTCAGATTATTTATATGGGTGACAGGGATGTAGCTCAACTGGTTGAATGCTCTTTTAGCATGACAGAAGCCCTGGATTCTATCCCTAGCACCACAGACACGGTGTGGTGGCACATCACAGTTCAAGGCCATCCTTAGCTGCATGTTCAGCTACATGAAAATTAGCTGGAATGTGATTTGAGGCCAGCAAGATTTATTCTAAGACTTGAGGTAACCCGTGGGAATGATTTCTCTCGACCCAGAAACCTCTGCCTCTAAATCATTCAAACCAAGAGGTTCCGGTGTTGTGTCTGAAATTGCCCTGGTCATCAAGGCTTTATGTACCTGAAGAGCCACCAAGCATCTGAAATTTGTCCCTTTAAAGAAACAGTATAGCAGTAGAGTTGACAAGTATGCTGAGGACAAACAGTAGGGCTAAATACGTGATTGGAGGTCCTGGAAGAGTGCTGAAGTTTTGCTACACATGCTTGAAAATGCTGGACTTAAAGTTCAGAAGTGAATTCTGTGGTTCTTGATAATATCCAGAGCAATGTACCCAAAGTATAGTCAGATGAACCCACATGTGAGCTTACCAGTCACACTGAAAAGATCCTCACTGGAAAGGAACTGTTCCTAAGCCATAAAAGGAGGTTACAAAGAATAAAAACATCTACAAGTAAGAGACAGTGGTTGGATAAGTTGTATGTGTGTTTTTTATTGTTTGTTTGTTTGATCCAGAGTCTCATGTAGTTTAGGCCGTCCTGGAACTTCCATGATCTTCCTGCCTCCTGCTGCTGTGCCTGGCATGTGCTTTTGTTCTTGTTGTTTTGAGATAGGGCCTCTGTTGGTTAAACTGGCCTGTAACTTACTATGTACCTATGTAGTCCACGCTGGCTTTTAATTCTTGGCATTCCCCGTCTCAGCTTTCTAAGTGCTGGTATTATAGGTGTGAGCCACCACACCTGGCTTTGGTCAATGGCATTGAAAAGGAAAGAAGGCTGGCAAATACCAAGTGAAGTTATTCTTGGGTGACTTTTTCTAAGATAATTGTATAAACATAAAAAATAAATGTTCTTGTTGCATGTGGTATGGCTATGTGCATTTGTAATCTCAGTATTCAAGATGCTGAGGCAGGAAGGATCAAATTTGTGGCCAGTCTGGGGCTATACATGTATAGTGAAGTCCTACCATAAGAAAGGGTCCTGTTGTTCGTTTTCCTCTAGATTGAATTGGTGGATATGGATTGGGTACAGTAGGGTTTGTTGCTTAGGAGGTTATGTTTAGGTTGCTCTCTGCCAAAGAGTGTATTAACAGAGTTTTGTTTGTTTCAGGATGCCACTGGAATCGTCTTCCTCATCAATGCCACCATCCTTCCCTTCTGTGTTGCCTTCAGTGCCAGACGATATTGCCAGTTCTTCCCCTCCTCCAATGTCTTACATCACTTCTCAGGAGATGAAGTGTATTCTTCACTGGTTTGCCAGTTGGTCGGGTCCCCAGCGGGAACGTTTTCTACAAGACCTGGTAGCTAAGGCAGTGCCTGGAAAGCTACAGCCACTGCTGGATGGTCTGGAGCAGCTCAGTGTGTCTGGGGCAAGCCGGCCACCTTGTATCTTCGAGTGTCAGCTACGTCTTTGGGATCAGTGGTTTCGAGGTTGGGCTGAGCAGGAGCGCAATGAATTTGTCAGACAGCTGGAGGTCAGTGAGCCAGATTTTGTGGCAAAGTTTTACCAAGCAGTGGCCGCCACTGCTGGTAAAGACTGATAGGCCTTCAGATCAAGAAGATAACTATGTGTGATCAAGCCAAAGACCATGACTCTAGTGAAGATTCAGTGCTAGTGTGTCATTTAAGATTGCCTGAACTGCAGGGGTAGTGGTGCATCTTTCTCCCCAGCACCAGGAGGCAGAGGCAGCCTGGTCTACATATCAAGTTCCAGGCCAGACAGTGCTACAGAGTGAGACCCCGCGTTAAAAAAAATTGCTTGAACTTGATGATGAGTGCCAGCACTGTTTTTATCTTAGCAGTATGCCATATGTCACTGGACTCTGTAAATGTGATCCACTTAAACAAATTGATTTTATCAGACACCTGCTTTATTTACAGGAGAAGTATAGTAACTTCTCATCTTGCCAGTGAATTTGTGTTAGTGGCCACACCCCTTTGGGCGTGGCTTCAGGTGTGTATGTGACCATAAGGTGGACAAGTGCAGGGTCTCTTTCTCTTGGTTGGCAGATTGCATCACAAGGGCAGAGACTGCTTCTTCTGGAACAGGAACATTGTAGCAGTTCTTTACTATTATCTGTGTAAGTAGTTCCCCAATAAAACACCCATTTATCATTATCTTGGGTCTAGTGAACTCATTATTACCCTGCCTTCTATTGGCGCCCTATGTGGGGTGCCATTTTGTTGCTGGTGTTTTTCTTTCCAGTCAGGTCCCACAACTGCTTCAGCCCCAAATGAACACACAAGCGATGCATATTTATTATTAAACTGTTGGCTGATAGCTAGGGCTTCTTATTGGCTAGCTCTGTCTTAATTATTAACCCATAACTTCTAATCTGTGTATTTCTACATGGCTTTATATTACCAGAGAACACCTGGCACATCCCATCCTCCCGATCTCTACATGGCATCTCCTCATGGTCTATCTCTGCCTACCTTTCCCAGAATTCTCCTTGTCGCCTAGTTCTGCCTATCTGCCTGCCTCTATTGGCCAAACAGTGTTTTATTCATCAACCAATAAGAGAGACATACATACAGAAGGACATCCCACCATCAGACACCTGCTTTATTTACAGGAGATGTCTAAATCTCAAGAATTTAATGACTTCTGCTGTAACTAAAAAGAACCAGTGTCTTATAAATCAAGGCTACTGCTAGTCCAGATGGCTGGTTTTACCACATTTCCCAAATCTAGCATAAAAGTGATGTCCCAACCATTGGACTTCCCAATGATGATTTAATAAATTAAGGAAAATCAAGAGAAGGAAATAATTGCTTAATCCTGAGCGCTGTTTGACTTCAAAGAGAAACGAAACTTAGATAAGTATCAAATAGCAAAATAGCAGTGACCTTTTTTAAAACGCGATACCCTTGGGGCTGGTAGTCAATGTTCCTATTTTGCCACTGGTCTACAACAGTCTGAAAATAAGTGATGCTTCACAAATTAATCTGTTGATTTGGCAGGGGGTGGGGGTGGTGGGGTACTAAAATAAAGAATAGTTCTTCACTATAAGACTCCACATTTTGTATATGGCAAAACTATTGAAAAGTTGATATCCTGGCAAAGAGGCATTCTAAAAGAAATAGAACAGAATTTACAATAAGTAGATTTTTCCCATCCAGTGGTCTTTATTTACTGATTTTATGTGTATGTGTGAGGGCCTGCGTGTATGTGTATGTACCATGTGCATGCCAGTGCCCACTGAGGTCAGAGCAGGGTGTTGGATGTCCTGGAACTAGAGTTACAGAAGGATGAGGGTGCTTTGATTTGAGCCTTGGTCTTCTACAAGAGCAATGAGTATTCTTGCTTAGTTTTTTGTTTTTGTTTTTGTTTATTTGAGACAGGGTTTCCCTGTGGCTTTGGAGGCTGTCCTGGAACTAGCTCTTGTAGACAAGACTAGTCTACAGGGTGAGTTCCAGGATACCTAGGGTCACACAGAGAAACCCTGTCTTGAAAAACCAAAAAGAAAAGGGGGAGGGGGAACTATACTAAGCAGTCAACCACATGGTGGCTCATAACCATCTATAATGGGATCTGATACCCTCTTCTAGCATGGAGGCATACATACAGATCGAGCACTCATACACATAAAACAAATAATTTTTTAAAAAATTAAGTAATTCTGGATGTGTATATATATATATATATATATATCTGTATATGGGTACTCATGCGCCACAGTGTACATACAGAAGTATAGGACAACCTGTAGGAGTTGGTTTTCTCTGTCCACTTTGTGGCTCCTTAGAAATCAAACCAGGGTAAATTACTTTACCTATTGAGCCATCTTGCTGGCTGGCGTCACACCTGTCTTATTTTAAACTGATCTCCTGTGCTATACATGTATCTCTCATGATGGTTAAGTAGTAGATGGTCCCACTTGGAGTGTAGCTCGTTTCTGGTAAGCCAAAGTTCCCAATGCACCCACCAGGATTAGCAACAATATGCAGAATCCGGTGGATAGAAGCTGGTCAGTCACAGAGATGCTATGGTCCATGGAAGTCAGCAACCTAGAACATGAAAGGCACTGTTTGTCCTGCAATAGTGCTCAGCCATTATGGAATGGAAACATGTTTGGATCAAGCAGTAGGGCAAACAAACCAGTAAAAGCCAATGTTGAACCCCAAACATGGGGATGAAACCAAGGCCCAAATCTTCAGCAGCTTCAAGTATGGAAAGGAGACCCAAGGTAATGGCAACTAGCTTGTGGGAAGACACAGTTTTGGTAGATAGATCTATAAGCACTGCTTAAGGGGTGTGATGACACACATTTACCATATAGCCCCAGTCTTCTGAGGCAGGAGGATCAGAAGTTCAAGATCATCCTCAGCTATATAGTAAGTTTGAGGCCAGCCTGATGCTAAATGAGACCTTGTCTCAAAAAAAAAAAAAAAAAAAAAAAGCCAGCCATTGGTAGCGCACACCTTTAACCCCAGTACTCTGGAGGCAGAGGCAGGCGATCTCTGTGAGTTCGAGACCAGCCTGGTCTACAAGAGCTAGTTCCAGGACAGCCTCTAAAGCCACAGAGAAACCCTGTCTTGAAAAAATAAAATAAAATAAAATAAAAAAACCCCAAGAAACCAAAAACCAAATAACCCACAAAAACACAAATAAGTAAACCCTACAACTGGAGAAGCAGAAGCAGATGGGTCTGTTGCATTCAAGGCTAGCCTGGTCTACAAAGTAAATTGTAGGCCAGCCAGGGCTACACCCCCTTCCCGTCCTGCTCCCCAAAACAACAAACACAACTGAATTCCCTAAGTTCTAGGGATGGGACCCTATTTTGTTTGTTTTGTTTTTTCCAGACAGGGTTTCTCTGTGTAACAACCCTGGCTGTCCCGGAACTCACTTTGTAGACCAAGCTGGCCTCGAACTCACAGAGATCCACCTCCTCTGCCTACCAAGTGCTGGAATTAAAGGCAGACCACCTGTCAAAATCATATTTGTTAGGCATGCATTTATGTGTACCTTTTTCTATACAAGGTTATGTTAGTGAAAAGGTGCCCAACATTACATTGGGCCCATCAGACAGTAATAGGAAGCGCACACCTTTAATCCCAGCACTTGGGAGGCAGAGGCATGTGGATCTCCGAGTTTGAGGCCAGCCTGGTCTCCAGAGTGAGTTCTGGGACAGCTAGAGCTGTTACACAGAGAAACCTATTTCAAAGAACCAAAAAAAAAAAAAAAAAAAAAAAAATTCTTAGCTAGGAGGTGGTGGTACCTTTAATCATAGGACCCAGGATTAAGAGGTAGACAGATTTCTGGGGGTTCAAGGCCACCCAGATCTACACAAGATTGATCCAGTCCTAAAGAGAAACAGCTCACACAAAGATGGTCTCAGATCTAGGTGCTGGAGAGATGGCTCAGAGGTTAAGAGCACTGTTCAATTCCCAGCAACCATGTGGTAGCTCACAACCAACTATAGTGGGATCTATGCCCTCTTCTGGCATAAAGTTGTACATGCAGATAGAGCACTCATATACAAAAAAAAAAAAAAAAAAAAAACAAAAAAAAAAAAAAAAAAAAAAAAAAAAACCCAAGAAGACAAAAACAAACGTGATTTCAAATGTCTGACAAGCAGGGTGCAAAGCTTACTACTGGGGATGTGATCTTACTTGCTGTATTCTGTGGTAAAGATGGCTTTTCCATGGTGTACTTGGAGGGGTTTCTCCTGAAAACTCAGAGTCAGGTTCTGGTACAGTGTAGCAACGGAAGGCCCTTGGCAGCCTGGAGACTTCCACATACTCACAGTGAACATCAAATTTGTGGTGATGGATGGACTGTGGAAATAGCACCTGAACAAAAAGTGAGATCTTTTAACGGAGGAGGCGTGCTTGAAAGGGGGAGTCTAAAGAGTAAGTGTAGGTCCCAGGGTGAGATGAGCAGAGGGCACAGGAGAGCCTGAAAGAAAGCACTTGAGCATTCTCTATGGCCCATTGTCTACACAGGTAGAACTGTCCCCTTTACCTGCTAGTGCCACCTCTTGTCACCAGAGCCTGAAGAACTACCTCAGCCAGCTCTTCTCTCTCTTCTTTCCCCAGAGAGTGGCCTGGGGTCCCAGTTAATCCTAAAGACAGCTGGAATAGCAGGTCTTGGGTTGAAAAACTCATTTGTGGAGAAGTGACAGCACTGGTTCCTTTGTTACTCAGACACAGCCGGCCTTGGGGACAGTAGAGAAGACCATAGTATCCGGGTATCTACAAGGAAATAGCAGGATATAAGCTACAGCTTCAATTACTTGTTTAGGGCTGTCTTCTAAGGAAAATGGCACATTCTAGACCACAGTCATGGGCAAAGAAGACATTTAGGGAGGAAAAAAAAAGGTTGGTGAAGGGCTGTGGGCCGAGAGTGAAGCTCAGTGAATGCAATGCCCCAGATTTGATCCCCAGCATGGTAAGTAAATGCGTAAATAAAATAAATATTCAAAATTTCAAAAAACAAGCTGAACATTAGGCTTGGTGGTTCATGTCTGTAATCCTGGTATATGAGAAACTAAGGCAGGAGGACTGTCACAAGTTTGAGGTTAGCCTGGGTTGTATAGCTAGTTCTAGGCCAGCCTGGACTACAGAGTAAGACTTAAGCTGGACAGTAATACCAGTCAAGCATTTCCCAACTTTTCTGCCTGTGTGCTCTGACTACTCTTAAAATTCTCACCTGGGCCAGGTGGTGGTGGTGGGATTTCCAGGATGGAAACCCTGTCTCATAAAAACAAACAAACAAAAAGAAAAAAAAAAAAAACAAAACCTCACCTGAACAGCCTTTCCTGGAAGGCAGGGGATCCACGGTGATCCCTCCACTTGTACCTCGTATACTCCCTTGTGTGTGCATTGATGTAGATAGCAACGGCCTGTGGGACTTGTGGAGGGTTGGCTGACCTTGCCTTTGGAGAGCGCTTGGGAGGTAAGGTTGGCAAGGAAGCACCGGCTGTGAAGATGGTAAATCTCCCCATGGGGGTTCTCTGCTCTGGTGAGGAGTCCATTTTCCTCCTTCCAGCACTCACTCTAAAATGTAGGGGAAATGGTAGAATAATGTGATACTGTAGAGGCTGACCCCTCCTGGGCCTGCTCTTGCTCTTGCTCTTTTGTAGTCCACTCACCCCACTGGCTAAGGGTTTGTATATGCGGCAGCCTTCTAGCACAGGGTCTGAGGAGCAGCTTCCCTTGTCCAGGTGCAGGTAGTGGCAGCCCAGCCCACTGTGTGGCAGGGATAGTAGAGAGATGACACTGGGATCACTGACAGTTGTACAGTCCCCTACCCATTCAACACATACCTGCGGGTGCAGAAGAAGTCTGACGATCCATTCCCACATGTGCTCACCAGGCCAAATTCTGGGCCAGAGCCTGCTTGTGCAATAAGAAGAGAAAGCACTCAAGATGAAACCTCAGGTTGGGCATAGTGGCGTACAACTTTGATCCTAGCACTTGGGAGTAAGGGTCAGGAGGAACTGTGTGAGTTGGAGGCCAGCCTGGTCTACATAGTGAGTTCTGACAGCCAAGGGTACATAGCTAGACCCTGTCTTGGGGGAAAAAAAGATGAAACCCTAGACATCCCTGAGTACTAGCTTTGTTTACAGTTTGAATTACATCTTAGTAGCAAACTCCAAACTGTATCTTCTCACAAAGCTGACTTGGGGTATAAGTGTTGACCCACAGACCTTTCCTATTTCTTACCCTGACCCCACAATAGCTCCTCCGCAGCACTGTAGTTGACTTGATACCAGCCTGAATCTTCAAAGGCAGCCAGAGTTATCCGGTCAAGTCGAGTGTGCTGGGCACCATCAAAGGTAGCGGTCATTATAGAACCCTGGAGTAATCTGGACTCCCAGTGTGAAGACAAAGAGCCCTATTGGGTAAGGTAGCAAATAGTTGGTTGCTATTTGGCTACTCCCTGTTTGAGATGATTTGGCCATCATCCCAAGGTGTTATTCTCACCTCTTCTTCCAAAGGAACACCCAACACAGTCCCTGGTACACCCAAGTGTTTGGCTAAGCTGTGGCTAACGGTCGGAGTGGTGAGAAGCAGTTGTCCCCACTCATCTCGCCTTGTCACATGTTTCCTTGTAGAACAATTCTCTCTAGCTGGCTTTGAAAAGGGAAAACTTAGGAAGGGTGAAATAGAATCGGAAGGTGGTGAACTCCCTCTGGTTGACATAGGGAGCCCACCCCCTCATTTCTTCCATTTACCACTGAGTCCTGAGGGGCAATCCCGCCATTTCATGAAGAGCTGTCCAGAAAAACCCAGGACATGGAGCAGTTCATGTAGAGTAGCCTAAGAACAAACTGCTGCAGAGTAAGGAGCCTGGCTCTGTAGCAGAACTCTAGTCCCTCTGCATACCCAGCTCTCTGTAGAGCATAAGGCATCTCTGTTCCATCCTCGTTAGGTTCTTTCACTTTGTGGGAGACTGCCACTCCCAGCCACATCCCCCACCCATCATGCAGTGGTTACCTACCGTGACAATGTCACCATGGCTGAGGCTGGGACTGGTGAGATGTTGGGCACAGTAGACAATGGTGCCAGCGAGGGGCCTGTCTTCTGAGTCCAGCTGGCAGCAGGCAGCATAAGCTATGACAGAGGGCTGCAAACAGGCCGAGAGAAGGTATTGTAGAAAAGAAGAAAGTGAGGTAATACAGCTAGATGGAGTCTTCCTGAAAATTGAGGAAGCCAGGACTCTGTAGAGCTCTGCTGGGGTGGTGCCTATGGGTAGCCTGGAAGGTTCGTAGCCCTATACAATTCAAGCTTTATCAGCATACTCCATACTGGCCCCCAAAGAAGCCCAACTCAAAAAAACTGCTTCTATTTCCATACCCCTCCTTACAAACCTTCAGATTAAGAGAGACAGCAGGAGAAAGGGATGGGCTTTGAACCTCACCTCTTTGTGACACTTGGAAGTGTGGGCAACCCTCACATACAGGAGAAAATCAGTGTTTTGGACTCCAGGGCCATCTGGTTGGATTAGTTGGGGCAGACCATGCTCTGGCCACAAGGAATAACCACGAAGGTGGGCATCAGGCATCTGTCAGGAATGAAATCTAGTATAAGCCTAGCAGATAGATGCAAACTGGATGCTAGCAGGAAGGAGATATCTTTGGGCTATCTCAGTACCATCCAGGTAGCCAATTGGAATTGGATTCCTAGCTGAGTATGTATAAACCAGAGCAATTCATAGCATGTGTGAGGCCTGGGTTCAAATCGAGTTTTTTTTTTTTTTTTTTTTTTTTTTTTTTTTTTTTTTT